TACAGCTGTGCCAAAAGCAGGGTTTCATCTGATCCAGCAAAGCTAGCTGAAAGCCACTGTGATCCATTGGTTAAACTGCTGGACTAAGATCTGGGAGACCCAGGTTCAAATGTGCATTGTTCCATGGAGATTCACTGGGTGAACTTGGGCCAGTCACTTTCTCTCTCAGCCTAACTCCACAAGGGTTTTGATATGTGGATAAAACCACAAGGAGCTCCCAAACACTGGGAATTACAGGGCATGATTTCCAGGTAAAAGAGTGTGGCTAGACACCCAAACTGTCCTTTTTCTAAACCACTGGCCTTTCAACACTTGCCAAAATCCTTCGAGTAACACTGTCTTGGTCTTAGTCCCAGGCGTTTAACTTTCCATCGAAGCATGTGGCATGGTTTGCTACCTTGGCCTTTGGGGTTCACTGGACTAAACTTCTCTTCCTTGACCTACGGAATTAGGTCAAAGACAGTCTTTAGCCACTTTGACCTATATGAGTCTTCTTTCAAGAGTGCCAGGTAGCCCTTGCTGCTCAAGTATGACTTGGTGAACAGTCTAAATGCTTGTAACCAAGCCCTTGCCTCAAGGGGAGGTTGGCCCATTTCTGAACAGAGAGCCACACTGGCCACACAGTGAGGAATGTTTAATAATTTTCACAGAAAATATAAAAGAAGATGGTCTATATTTTCATTTTCCAAGACCGTCCTTATGGCTACTCCATAAAGGAAAAAAAGAATGACTTTCATGTTAAAGACCTGAACAGCACCTGGAACATAGTTCCCAGCTTCTTTTCAGAAGTTTAATATGCTGTCGGGGCAAGTTTTTTGCTTTTCTCCTTATCAGTGGCTGATGATGAGGCCCAGATTTTAGGTGAGATGTGAAAAGGATGCCCAAATATGAAAATCCTTTCACTTGCCGATTTTCTTCCCCATTCAGAGTCCATCTGAACACTGAAGGATTCCTTCTTTTGGAGGAAACAACTACTTTAATTTTCTGTTAGTTTATTTTCAGCCCTTCCTTAATACAATATTCTGAGAAAATTTTTAATGATCTCTGGAAACCAACTCTTGTCCGAGAGAGCAGAGTAGTGTCATTAGTGTGAAGAAGAACTGGAATATTGCAGTTGGCCAAATGGGGTGGATGACAAAACTCATTCAAGAAAGTCGAAAGATCATTCATATACAGGTTGAACAAAAAAGACCCCAAAAGATAGCCCTTTATCGACGTTAAATGGAACTGAGCTGTAAGGAGACATAGCTTCTTGGAGAATGGGCTGGAAGTGTAAATAGGACTGAAATAGGACTGAAATCAACAAAATGATAGGCCTTATTCAACCCTGCAATTTCCCTTCCAGGGGTTTGACATGTTAAGGGCTTGCACAAAATCACACTAGTGCATTCCAGATTTGATAATATAGATTAATTAACCTGGAGTGTCTACTGTCACTTGGCTCCCTTTGCAATCCCTAAATACAAGCCTCCTGAGAGAAATTCTGGGTTTGGAGAAGCCAATATTGATTGACCCTTGCCCTAATAAAAGCTAGGAAAAATATGAGGGGGACACACACACACATTCTCTTTCCTTTCTTTATGCACAAAGGGTAGAGTACAGATGTGAAATTCACATGACTATTCTGCTCATGGCTGAGCACTTTTTTATGGGCAAGATTTCAACAGGATTGCAGTGAAGAAGAGGAAGAGATTGGATTTATACCCTGCCCTTCACTACCCGAAGAAGTCTAAGAGCGGCTTACAATCTCCTTTCCCTTCCCCTCCCCACAACAGACACCCTGTGAGGTAGGTGGAGCTGAGATAACTCTCTCAGGAGCTGTCCTTGAGAGAACAACTCTGAAAGAACTTACGACTGACCCAAGGTCACGCCAGCAGCTGCATGTGGAGGAGTGAGGAATCAAACCCGATTCTCCCAGATTAGAGTCCATGCTCCTAACAAAACTGACTCCCAAACTGTTGTCATGTGTCACAACAACAAATCTCAAAGCTACTGCTCAGGAACATATGAACGTGTGAAACTACCTTATTACCTTATATTAAGTCAGACCATGTTTTTGTCATGGTCAGTAGTATTTACTGTGGCTGGTAGCAGCTCTCCAGGGCCCCCAGTGGAGTTCTTTCCCATCAGCTGCTACCTGAACTTTTTTTTTAAACTGAACATGTTGGGGATTGAACCTGGGATCTTCTGCATGCAAAGAAGATGCTCTACTTCTGAGCCATGACCTCTCCCAAAGGTGACATGTGGCAGGTGATGCATAAACCTTTTACCCACTATACTTCATATTTCTTAAATATGAACATCATGCCATGTGACCAAGAAAGTAAACTGCCTGGTTGTGCCCATTGTGTACTCAGGACAGCATAGTCAGAGACAAGTAACTAGTCCACATTAGATAACTATTTCAGAGTTCATTATTGTACCCTGCACAACTCAGTGTATTCTTCTAAAATAGCGATGGAGCATTTCGGATGGCAAAATTCCTGGATATATTTTGTATGCTTCATCTGCTGAGTAGGATGAAGGCAGCAGGCAGAGTGTGGGTTACCATAACAGTTTTGCACTGCGACGTTTTCTGTAGATGTATAACCAAGAAATCTGGAAACGAATTCATTGTGTTGGGTCTTGTTAGAGGTTGTTCTCATGGGAGGTTAAATTTGGAGTCACTTCACCTTAAGAATTTCTCTTAAATTAAATTAGCTGTAGGAAAGGATCACAGCAATTGAATTAGCGCTAGAATGACATTTAGACCATCTGGTCCTTTTCTTCAAGGCTTGTTATGTGACACCTCACTAACCCATTGCCTTCAGAAGATAATTACCAGAACCTTTTCCTAGCTCCTAGTTTTGAGAATATGCCTGTTGACCTTAGTAGGAGTATTGTATGCATGTTCTTTCCACTTTATCATTCATACTCCTATGAAACTGCCACAGCACGTATTCCAAGACTCAGTTGTTGATAAATAATTCAAAGGAGGGCTGCCAGCTTTGATAGGCTTCATCAGTAAATTAATCAACTAACGCTCCAGTTGATTAATTGGTAGCAGGCAGTTTTAATAGATGAACGCAGAAAATGAATAGCACACATTATTGTTCTGTTTTAGTCTGACATCATTCATGGGTGTGACTGTATTAGTAAATGAAACAGAAAATATTAAATATGACTGTTTAACAATGAGTGGCAGGGTTTCTGTGCTAAATTGTATGTGATTGTGTGTTGCATTCAGCATTTCAGAAAACACATATATTGAATTTTAGTCATATGTATATACTTAAATACAACCAATTAATTGGTTAAAAGGCTAATGGCTGAGGAACTGAATTTCTATTTGATTGACAGGCTTCATTAGAACCATGCATCAGAATCCTTACTTTGCAAATCATATACATGTATAGGGTGAGTAAGAAGGAAATGGGAGAGGGCAAGGGGGAAGAAATGTTGAAAGATCATGAACGTTCTTGAACTTTAAGACAGAGGAGGATAGAAACAGGAAAAACAAATGAATAAGTAAATATATAGCCTGGCTAAAATCTTGAGAAAGTGCTTTTTCCTGACTGTGCAAAATTTGGGGTGTCCTTGGGGCAACTCATATGTAATATATGTGCAATTTTTTTGGGGGGTGGGGGAACTTAAGCAGGAAAGCGGCAATAACTGCAGAATTGGTCATGTCAGTTATATAGGTACATTTCAATATAAAGTATACAGCTCAATCTATATGACCTATAAGGTGGCCTAGTGGTGTGATCTAGGGTCGTTAAGATTGGTCCTGAAATGAATCTCAACCAGATGACAACCTTGCTTCAGCATTCTTTGCAAGCAGTGTTTCAAAGGATGGTTTCACAAATTCAATTGCAACAAAGCTGGGATGGCCAGTGAGCTTGTCTGTACTCAACAGGGAGCCAAATCCAACTCTCTGGTGACTCTGAGGCTTGAACACCTGTTTTTCACGACCCCTCCCGTTTTTATAATGTACGACTAAGAGGTCCTGAGGGCTGTTTCGACCATGATGTGTTGCCTACCTGGAGAAAGAATCTCTGTAACACGGATACCCTCTTGTGTGAGCTTGGCATGAGTTTTTTAGTGGTTTAGGCCAACAAACAAATGCATACATAAGTTTTTAAACTCATGTATCAGCAACAATATAAAGATTCGTTGTAACTTCACATACACAATGTGTTCCAGCTATCACTGTGTCTGATTTTCTGTAAGTTTAGCTCTCTTTCCACATTCAAAAAAGCTACATAAAGATCAAAACCAGTCTTGCATATGTGTAGAAGGATCTTTGTACCCTGTGCATTAACGGTATTGCTGTTCCAACTTACATTCTGCCCTTAAAGACTGTTGAGAAGCCACAGTTTGTATACAGTGTAAAAACATCTGTCAGTAAGCAGTGATTATATAGGACATATAACATTACTGCTGTCTTGGTAGCATTGGTTATTGGTGGATGTAATTCATGGTGTTGGTATTGGTCTGTATAACCTTAGCCTGTTTTCGAATGATCTCCCTAGAGATACTGAACCTTTTGACATGTTCAGGTTTAGGAAACAAGTGAAAATCTACTTTGGCCATGGTCACACGGAGCATCAGGCACGCAAGAGGGATGGAAGAGAGGCGGAGTTTCCGGGCGCGATCTCACCGCAACATCTGGGGAGCGTAGAGCTCCCGTGGCTGTTCCATGGCTACCGTCCGAAGCCGCGCAGTAAAAAACTAGTACCTCCGAGGTACTAGTTTCCGGGAACTGCGCAGCAAGGGCAGGCGCCTGATCGTGTCCCCGCTGGGCTTCCGTGGCATCCGGTGCGCGCCGGGTGTTTCCCCCCCATGCCTCCCGAAGCCCTCAACAGCACATGCGCACAAAGGCGCCCGGCATCGGTAGGGTCGAGGGGGGGCTGCGATGGGGGTGCGCAGCAGCGGCCAGGCAGAGAGGGCCGCGTGTCACGGGGGGAGGAAGGGAGGGCAGGCGGGATGCTGGTGGGGAGGGGGGACCCGGCGGGTTACTCCCCCCTTCCCTCCCCTCCTTGTGAGCGGCCCACGGACCCTGCCCAGAGTGGGCAGTGCACGACCCTCCCAGAGGGGGCGGCTCCTTCCGTCCCTTTCCCATCGGCTCTCGCTGGAGGTGCGGATGCTCGTGTGATCGGCACCTCCATCTTATCCACGGGACCTCGCTGGAACCTCTCCGGGACGTCTGATCCCGCTGCCGCGGGGTTTGTTGCCCCGGGGCAAATAGCCACGCTCCCCACCCGCAGTTTCCTGCCCGTGTGACCACGGCCTATGTTGAACAATTTGTGTTTTCTTTATATGGAAGAAAATAGTTTTCCTTATAGTTGCATATAGTTTCAAATGCTGGTCACAGAGCTACGAACAGAGTTCTGCCAGAGGCAGAGCTGACCCAGCTGAGCTCTGAGAAGCAGCAGGAGACAGAGCTGCTAGGGGGTGAGTGTTTTTTATTTGTTTTCAGCTGAGGAGATTTAGCTGAGGGTATTGTGAGGGAGGATTGTGCTTGGGAGTGTGTGGGTGAGTTGTAAGTTGTTGCAGAGTCCTGGCTGCTTGAGAAGGGTGAGAAAGGTTAAGAGTTTGGATTTATACAGGGGCATTATGATACTGCCTGATTTGTTTTCAATTCCCTTCCTAATAATCCCCAGCATAGCAGTGGCCTTTTTTATTGCAGTTGCACACTGTCTAGACATTTTCATTGAGTTATCTACTACAACTCCAAGATCTCTCTCTTGGTCAGTCTCTGCCAGTTCGGACCCCATCAATGTGTATTTGTATTTAGTGAGTGGATAGATCTCTGCGAGATCGACAGAAAAGGAAAACCCTGAAAAGTTGTGGACTGCAGTTGTCTGGTTGTAAAAGACTATGGCAAAGAATCTCAGGCCAAAGATGTCATCAAAGAGTACTACAAGTGCAAGAAATGAACAAATAAAATATTTTGAGCCTGGAAAAAAAGTTTTTGGCTAAACAGTAGGAAGAACTTCCTGACAGAGCGGGTCCTCAGTGGAACAGACTTCCTCAGGAAGTTGTAGGCTCTCCTTCTTTGGAGGTTTTCAAAGAGAGGCTAGATGGCCATCTGACAGCAATGCTGATTGTGTGAATTTAGGCAGATCAGGAGTGGGAGGGCAGGACGGGTTGCCTCAGTGCTTAGTTCTTGTGGCCCTTTTTACATGCCCAAGGAAATGCTGATTGCCACTTTGGAGTCAGGAAGTAATCCTGGAGGTTTTTTGTCATCTTCTCGGTGTGGAACAGCGGTCATTGCAGGTGTGGAGGGGGAGGTATTTGTGAATTTCCTGCATTGTGCAGGAATTGGACTAGATAACCCTGGGTTGGACTAGATAACCCTGGGTTGGACTAGATAACCCTGGAGGTCCCTTCCAACTCTGTGTTTCTATGATTCCACTCTTCCTTGAGTGGTAAGCGGTTCCAAGGGCAGCTCTTGCTTGATTTCCTTTAGATGAGGGAGCACTGAAGACTTATGGTGAACGACATCCCCACCTTAGTGAACTCGTGAACTCGTGGGCACTCAATTAAATTTCTGAGCAGTCGGGTTAGAACAGATAAAAGGGAGTACTTCTTCACCCAAAGAGTGATTAACACGTGGAATTCACTGCCACAGGAGGTGGTGGTGGCTACAAGCATGGACAGCTTCAAGAGGGAATTAGATAAACACATGGAGCAGAGGTCCATCAGTGGCTATTAGCCACAAGATATAGATAGGAACTATTTGTCTGGGGCAAGTGATGCACTGTATGCTTGGTGTGGTGGGGGAACAGTGGGAGGGCTTTTACTGTGCTGGTCCCACTGGTGGACCTCCTGATGGCACCTGGCATTTTTGGCCACTGTGTGACACAGAGTGTTGGACTGGATGGGCCATTGGCCTGATCCAACATTGGCTTCTCTTATGTTCTTATGTAGAACATGCAATTTGGCCGTTACCCTACCCTGCATCATTAGCATATGGCTTTTAATTGCTGCTGGCACTTGTGTTTTAGTTGCAAGGCTTTTATCAATGCCTTCTATGGTTTTTAGTGTTCCAGACTGCTATGTTTTTGTCTGTTTTTATAAATGTATTATTTTACAGGTTTTTACTGTGAATTCTCTCAGGTGCCACTTTTGTGTGTGCGTGAGGGGTGTTTCCTAAATATTAAATCTAAAACAAGCTAAATTAATAAGTGTGCTGATATTGAAGGCAGATAGCAAATGCCTAAGGATGGTTTCCCTATGCTGCCCTCTCAAAACAAACAGGATTCTTACCTTTCCCCACCGGCATCCTCTTACTGGGGAACGGGCTGCGTCACAACACTGGCAAGTCCCCTTTGAGGCAGGAGGACCTGCCAATTTAATGTGTATGTTGCATAAACTGAGATTCGTCATTGCCTTTAATGAGCAAGATTAAGTCCCTTTCATGATAAGTTAACAAACACCCCCCCCCGCAGAAGTATGCTGGGAGAAGCAGACTTTGAAGAGACCTTTTGGAAGGACCCAAGCTGAAGTCAGAAGGAAGGAGGGTTGGTTTTTTTTTTATTTTCCCCCAATGTAGGGAATGTCTCAAAAGTGTTACCACTTCTCATGGTATGTATATCCATTGTGCCAGGGCTTTTTTTTGTAGAAAAAGCCCAGCAGGAACTCATTAGCATAGTAGGCCACACCCAAAAGCAGAAAAATCATTAGCATAATAGGCCACACCCCTGATAGCACAGCTCATTGGCATATTAGGCCACACACCACATGTTACCAGAAGTGTGGTCATCCAGGCACACCCACCTTTTGCTTCTTATTCTGTTTACTTTGTTGTCAAAACCCTGGGCTTTTTTTGTAGCAGGAACTCCTTTGCATGTTAGGCCACACACCCCTAATGTAGCCAATCCTAATGAGTTTCTGCTGTTAGGCATGGCCTATTATGCTAATGAGTTCCTGCTGGGCGTGGCCAACTCAGGAGCCAGCCGGAACTCCGTTCCTGTGCGTTCCTGCCCAAAAATAGCCCTGCATTGTGCTATTGACTCTGGTGAACTGTTTTGATAGTCTTTCATAGTGTTAGATAAAAAAAAAACCCTAGCTGAACCTGTTGGGCCTGAGGCAATAGTGGGACAAAAGAAATTGGTGCGTATCTTGAATTGGATTGCAATGCTTACTGCTCTAATTGCCGTTGTTCTGTATATGCTATCATGTTCCGTTCTGCCCTAACCACCATCTCAAGGGATGTTGTACTATTGTGAAAGGTGCAGCACACTGATCAAAGAAATGGAAACAAAATGGCAAAGGGAGGGGAGCATGATAAGTGACTTATAAAAGAATGCATTTTATGAAGGGAGTGGGCAGAGCTTTCCCTTTCCCTCCTGTTAAGCTCGAACTGTTGAAGTTGAGGGGTACTAGATTCAGGATAGATTCATACAATGCATAATTAATTTTATGGACTTCACTGCTAGCATAGATGGGTTTAAAAGCAGATTAAACAGTATGTCTGAAGATCCTATTATGAGCTAAGACATTGTATAATATGGCACGTACCATGTACAGTTGGTCCAGGTGAACATCTTCTGACTATGATCTTTGTCCTTTGTTGGAATTTCTGCATACAGTCTCCATGTGTACAAGTTATATATGCGTAGGCTTATACACTGATATGTGTCTTGCAAAAAAAATTCTCTAGTCTCCACCTGTGTGCATGGTTTGTACATGCCTGGGTTCTGATCAGAAAGGTACATACACATTGGGGGTGAGGTCAACAGCTGTGATCCTGATCTCTTCTACACGATCGTTGTAAGTTCATGCAGGGGTCTTTTCGTACAAAAAGAGCTAGGGGAACTCATTAGCATAACTCATTAGCATATGCCACACCCCCTGACATCACAGGAAGTGTGTCATAAGGCCACACCCCCTGACATCACCAGAAGTGTGTCATAAGGCCACACACCCCACCCCCAACTGTCCCGGCCGCCGCGGCCGGCCTTGCAGCTCCACTGCCGAGCCCCATGAGGGGCCCGACGGTGGACCTGCAAGGCTGGCGGGAGTGCAAGGAAGCTCCGCGAAGGCCCTCCCTGGCCCCAGGCAGGCAGGGGTGGGGAGAGGCAGGGAGGAAGCAACTTACCCTCCCTCTTCTCCTGCCTCCTCCTGGCTGAATGAGGGCCGGAAGCGGGGTGGCCGGAAGTGGGGGCGGGGCTTCGTCATGTGCCCCGCCCCCGTACCTCACCCGGGGGAACTGCGATCCCCCGCGATCCCCCCCGAAATGACCTCTGAGTTCATGACATCTAACATGCATATATGTGCATGCAGTGATTTCCCTATGACTACCACTCTTTTTTCCATAGTCCCATTTATTACTTTGTTAGATCAAAGTACTTAACCCAGATTTTAACTACAGTCAGGAACTGGCCTCTACTTCAAAAAAAATACAGGAAGTTTATTTGCTGATCTTGTAAGTGCAGTAACTAAAAATGCCTGTTTTTTGCTGATGTGGCAGTTGTGCTTTTTAGATGCTAATATGTTATTGTGATCAAGGTATGTGATAAGTTACTAAAGAAGTTTAATGATTTTGTTTTCCAGTGTGAATGTTATGTGAAGTTGCTCTAGTCAGTTGACAATGACATCAATGGTTTTAGGCTAGAGTAATTCTGCATAGGGTCATACTGCTAGTAATAGTAACAATCTTTTTGAATTGATCGTAAGTTTTTGTCATGATCTTTGTTTTTTAAGAAGACTGTAAAACCTGAGGGGGGTGTTCGTTGTATAGCAGTTGTGACCAATGTTCCCTCTAAGCTGTAGAGTCTTGTGAGCAAAAATTCTACTTTTTGAGCTACTGGCATTAAAAGTTGTGAGCGAACAATATGGCTACTGCATAAATTAGCTTGCTCTAGAGCCATCCTTCCTGAGCTAAGACAAAAATGTGTGAGATGGAGGCTAAAAAACTGTGAGCTAGCTCACACTGACTCAGCTTAGAGGGAACACTGGTTGTGACTACAGTTCACCCAGATACGATGTGAATAGGAAATGCTCTTTAGAGGACAGAGAGACCTGTGTGTAAATGAGAAACTGATCTCACCTCTCCTTTTTCAAAATACAAAGACTATTCACTTTTGTGTAATAGGAGAACAATGGCAAATGAAACCCCCTTCACTCTCCTCACAATGACCCAAGGAGGTACACTAAAAGATGATGTCACACTTTAGGGAATTGTAATGTGCCATTCATTGAAAGCCTCTTCCTACATGAACAAAGCCTTGACTTCTTGATATAATGTTTCTCTGAATCTTGAACTAATAAGGTCCCTGTGGAAACCGAATCATTTATGCATTATCAAATTATGTTGATAATAATAACTCCAGTACAAAGCACTCATCCCTCTGTATGGATGGGTGTAACAAATGATAGCAGAGGATTCTTGGTACAGCACAGCTCCTATTAGCTGAACTTCCATTCATTAAGACATCAATCTTGCTCAATTTATCCCTACTGTATAACCCTTTATCATTGTTCATATGTCATCTCTGACCTTCTGTCAAACTGGACAGTAGTTGGAAGCAGCATCATTTGCTAAAATGAGCCATTGTTAGCCATGTTAGTAGCCAGCTTCTCCAGTGACAGATGGACAACTAATGAGCTGATTGGTTGCTGGGAAACAGTAACTATGCTCTAGAAATTCCTGAGTGGCACTAAGGAGGTACAGTCCTCCCAAAGGAGTCTTCGTAGTTACTTGTAGTATAACAGTCAACTGGTTCTCACTCTATTTTCTAATGCAAAGACTTTCACCATATAGAAGTTCTTATATGCAGATTGATGGAGGAGAGGTCCATCAATGGCCACTAGGCCATGGTGATTGAAGGGATCCTCCATATTTCTGAATACCAGTGCCGAGAGGCAGCAGCAGGTCATATTCTGTTTTTGTGAGCAACTCTCAAAGTTTTTTGAAGACCCTCCCCACCCCAGTTCCGATGGACTCTATCAAGAAATGATATAGAAATTTCTTGTATTCTGCAGTGCAAAGTCCCTTCCGCTCATTATTGAGATTGAGAAGAGCTTTGGTTGGGGCCTTCTAAGTTGGGGCCTTATAGAACTGGCTCTCCCTCTGAGACTTGAGCTTGTATACCATGTACAGACAATTAAAACATTATTCTTCAACTTGCTTAAAAATATAGTTGTTAAGTGTTGGACTGTATTGTTTTGAGGATGCCAGAAGCCTCCAGGGGGTGGATGTGGTTGGCCATGCCCAATTTGAAAAGAGGCGGTCATATGTGTGCTGGTGAAGGGGAGGCTTGGGGGGGCTATGAAAATGTTTTAATCAAAATGGAGATCCTCAGATTGCTAAAGTTTGAGAATTGGTGCCCTAACAAGCAGCCACGGGGGTGTGTGTGTGACTTTTAGATTGGGAAAATGAAGGAAATAAAGCGGGTATCCAATTCAATCTGGCCTCCCCCCTCCTCTCCCATTAGTCTCTTTTATGTGTCTGTTGAGGTATAATTGATTTTAAAGTATTTAGTGCTGTACTTTTTAATTGTATTTATTATATGTATTTTGTTATTCTGTTTTTATGATGTAAATCTGCACTCAGCAGATTATTATAGGCTGGAACCCACCCTGGACCCACTTTATGGGGAGGTTGAGATATAACTGGAAATATATACATAAATTTATTCGGTGCTATGGCTCTAATCTGAATTTACCCTACCAGCTCCTTTTTATGGTAATAAAAATCCATGGAAGAATCCATTGACGGATCTCCAGTGTAATGTATAGCTTGGCCCTTAGCCACACTTTCTCTCTGTGGCTGAAATTGGTGGCAGAGAAAGCAACTTTGGCCTCAGATCTATATCAACTAAATACAAGACTCTGGATCACATCTAATGGGCCTTGCTGGCTCTCTCTTTTCTTCTGGCAAATGTTAATTAATTAATCAATCATCTAATAATTAATCTTTATGAAAGACAGTGAGAATCATGGCGGAATGTGTTGGCCAAGAAGGTAATGATAGGTTAAGGAAGTGAAGCCAAAAAGTAAATTGTTTTATGTCCCATTCTAATATCTCAGGCATATTCTTCATCTCCTTTTTTTAGCACATTGAGGTCCCAGTCACACGGGCCGGAAAATGCGGGGGGGGGGGCACACGGGCCGAAAAATGCGGGGGGGAAGCGTGGCTGTTTGCCCCGGAACAAAGTAACGCGTGGCAGCCTGATCAGACGTCCTGTCGAGGTCCCGTGGTTAGGTGCCGATCAGATGGCTAGTCTGCAGTGCGGCAAAGAAGCAGCACGGCATGTTCACACCGGCAATCGTGCCGCACCACTTCTGTGGCAAACAGGATTTTTTGTTTGTCTCACTGAAGTTTGCACATGTGCATGATCGTTTGTGTGCATTCTGTGTGGACTTAAAAAAAATCTGGTTTGCAAGGGGACATGGGCGGGTTCTGGATGCCACGGGATTCCAGCGGAAACACAATCAGACGCCTGCCCTTGCCCCGCGTTTTCCAGAAACCAGTACATCATAAGTACTAGTTTTTTACTCCGCATCTTCGATGGGAAGTCACGGGTTAGCCACTGGAGCAATACACTTCCCAGATGTTGCGGTGTGATCGCGCCTGGAAAATCCGCCTATCATCCGTATCTTTAGCGTGGCAAATGCTCCGTGTGAACGGGGCCTGAATTATCTGCTCCATGCCAGAGTTGCAATTTGAAGGTGACCATTATTAAGCACAATTATAGGATGATTATTACAGGGCACAAAAGTTAGATAACTAGAACAGACCAATGAAAAAGCGACTACATTTTGTATAATGTTGAGAGTCAGCAGAGTGGAATGGTGAGGGTGTTGAAATAGGATCTAAGAAATGCAGGTTAAAATTCTCATGCTGCTATGGACGTTTTTTGAGTGACATTGGGCCAGTCACTCTCTCTCAGTGACTTTCTACTTGACAGATTTGTGAGGATAAAATGGAGGAACAGACCACAATGTAGTAAGCTGTGTTGCATCTCCACTGGGTATAAGTGGGGTATAAATGTCCAAACATATAAATAAAACTGTAAAATTGCTGTGCAAAAGTAACAAGTTGTTTCAGTGGTAGAAGTGTAATAAAAAAGAACCAGTGAAACCACACTAAGATGAAATATTTATTTGTTTTTGCATTTTAGTGACTGTTCCGTCAGCTGTTCCCTCAGCTTGTGAGCCTGAGACAAATAAAACCAGCGGGCACCATCCAGCACCCCGACTCTCTATTTCCTCCCCCCGGACCACTGTGATTGCTAGCATGGAAACCACCTCACAGGGTTTGCAGACAGTCATGAAGTGGAAAACAGTAGTGGCCATCTTCTTTGTGGTTGTAGCCTACCTGGTCAGTGGAGGGCTTGTGTTCCGTGCCCTGGAGCAACCAGAAGAAAGCAAACAGAAGATCAGAATAGCCGACGATAAGGCCAGATTCCTTCAGAAGCACAACTGTGTGTCTCCAGAGGAGCTGGAGGCATTGATTCAGGTGAGAGAATTCTGAGGGAAATATTGGAAACATTGAATGATTTTGTAGCTTTTCCTGAGGCAAACACTTTCCTTGCTATTATTTAAGGGGGAAGTTCAGACATTCCACTGCTAGAAACAGATGAGAGAAAAATTGCTTGTATTTCTGAATTCCATGTATCAAAATTTCATCTGAAGTGGAAGATGTGGTTACGTTGGGGGACTCCAATGTCCAGGAAATTGCCTGGGAATCCCCACTAATGTTCAGTGGGCTGGATTGAGACTGGCAAGAGAGATTTCAGAGAGAGAGAGCGAGAGAGAGAGAGCGAGAGAGAGAGAGAGAGAGAGAAGACAGTGGCTTCACCTTAGAAACAATTTGTTGAGTCTTGAAAACCATAATACTGGAACGTCCAAACATATAACATTCCAGTTTGCAGCATACAGAATTAATCAAGTACCTATATAGCGTGCACTGTAGTTCTATAGTGGATACATCCTATTTGTTCTGTCAAGACCCATAAAGAGGGTGGTTGGCCCAGAACAACCCTCAACATAGAAATCACCATCAGTAGATACCTTTTGCAATCCATAAAAGCCAACAGCTGCCAATTCCAGCCCCTCTTATACAGCAGGTATCAATGTAATATTTGTGAGGGCAAAAAGCCCCAGGTTATATTATGGTGCCTCTTCAAGCAACAATGTATATATTATCGGTGGGCTGGGAAGCTCTACATGTATCACGTCAAGGATATCTAAGGAGCCTGGTAATCTATGTTTAGGTTTAGAGACTGGTACCATGAACTCGAAAAAATGTAAACTGTTTTCTAGGACAGAGTGCAAAGCTTTGAAAAAAATATAGCCTTTAGCTAGACTTCAAAGCCTTATGGGATGCTAGGCCAAAGAACCAATAGACTAGAGTCTAGGGCTAATTTACCATGGCTAAGAGAGAACAGGACCCAGTCTCACTTAACATTAAATTCCCTAAGAGGTTGTAAATCAAGAGGAGAACCTTTTGCTCAAGTGAATTTCTTAAGTAGGCCGATCAAAGAGCATGAATTACTCTCTGCTCCAGAATATTTTGTATTAGTGACATCAAACATTGATTTTTTATTAAAGTCTCTTTGGGTAGGCTGCTGTCACTCTCTCAGGTGCCAGTAGCACATTCGTCCACTGCAAGGAGTCTTCCCTGACACAGGACAAAGAGCCTCTAGCATTGCAGAAGTCATTGCCATTACCAGAAGGGAGTGGTAGGACACAGCTCATTTACTTTGACATGGGCACCAAAAGTTAGATGCCATCAGATTGCGAGCCCCAACTCCCGCCGAGCCCGCGCTGGTGGGAGGGGGCTGATTTGCCTCCTCGTGAGGCATGAAGAGGAGGGAAACGGCGTGAGAAGCGCGGTGCCAGGCAGGGGGCAGAGCCAGCCTATTTAGGCTTGGCTCCTGTCCTCTGCCCCAGCAGTTCTTCGATGTGCTCGGCCCACCCTCCTGCCCTATTTTAGTGCAGGTTTCAACCGGTTGCCTTTTAATGGGGCCAGGTAGGAATTTTTTCCACCCCTTTTTCGATTTGGCTTCAGACGGAGGGGTGCACTGAAGATAGTGGTATTGGGAAATTAGCTTTGGAGGGCCATCGTTTGCTAAGCAGGATGGTCACTTTGTGGTTAGGCGAGGTAGAGTGATCAGGACATTGAAAATGGTGAGCACCTGGACATTTCATTAAAGGAATTAAAGGGTCCTCCAAGAACAGCTTTTGGGCCTTCGCAGCTCAGGGCCGGGAAGGGGTGATCTTCCTTAGAACAATCTGGCCCGGCCTATCTCAGCAGGCCTTGCGGCTTCCAGGGTGGTGGGCCAGGGGGATCTCCTAAATATGCCAAGCTGCTGGTTGAGAGCTACATTGGGTGGCTCGAGATCAGGGAAGGTGCATTGCCCAGAAGGAGATGAAGGTGGTCATGAGTTTGACACTGGTCATATTCCTCAGTACATTTTTAGCAGCACCTCGCCATTTGTTTGATTATAATTAATAAAGTGGCTCTTGTTAAATCCATATTGGTGTCCATCTCTTCATTCCGACTGTGGTGGCAATGCCACATATTTTAAATAATGTGGTGGGAAACTGTGTGTGAGTTTCATAGACTGGAATAATCCCAGACAGGCCTAAATCCAAGTGTCCTATTTTTAGTTTTGTATACGGTACTTTTTCAGAATTTAGTGACCCCCCTCCCCCTCCGAAACTTGATTAAATTGATTTATGGCTGAGTTACCAGCCTTCCGGTTTTGTTTGTTTTGGTATAATTAATTAGCACAACCCAAGCAGAACAAGTAGTTTTATTCATTTATTAAAATAAGAGGAAATTGAACAAACATAATATGTGACAACAAGGTGAAATCTCACATCTGACTGGCAGTGCAATCCAAAGTAGAGTTACACCCATTGACTTTAGTGGACTTAAAGGGGCATAACTCTGGTTAGCACTGCATGGTCATTCACCATTTGAGACCAAAGATCCCTGAGCGTGAGCAGAAAGTGAGCTTTCTGTGCTCACTGTAAAGCTGTAATCTAAGAACACTTTCCTTGGAGTAAAGTCTATCAAATCAAATGGGACTTACTTCTAAGTAGACCTGCTTAGGATGGCTTTCTATGAGTAGGATTTAGTGTTGGTAGGGTTCCCTCCCTTTTTAACTTCACCCTGGCTTAAGATGTCATTCTCAAACTATTTGAAGCAGGCCCCATTTCTAAACTTAGGCCCCTGCCACATGGGGGGAAAAAGTACGGCCAAAGTGTGGCTTTTTAAAGCTGCACCAAAAGAAACATGCGGCGGTGGGATCACATAGATCCCCTGAGCCGACGCACAGTTCCTCCTCGGCACGATTAGATGCCGAGGGGAAGCTACTGAAGGGAGAGCGAGGCTGCCGAACTGCGCATGTGTGCGAGTGCGCAGTTTGGCCGGGAGCCTGAATTGCTCCAGACAACGGGCGCGGCGGCGATCCCACAGCCACGCTTGCTGCGGTGCTTCAGGTAAGTCCTCCTCTGTAGGAGGTTCTTTTTTGCAGCGGCTTTCCCGGGTTTAGGGACAGATCGGGAACGGGTGCGCGCCGCTTCCCAGATGTTGCAGTGAGATCGCGCCTATTTGCTGCGCCCCCGATCCGTCCCTCTCCCGGGCCAAAATCTTCCGTGTGACCGGGGCCTTACTTTATCATTTGGAACCCACAACTGCCGTGTTGCAGGTCCCAGGAGGCAATGTGCATAGGCTATGCTGATAGCCTCCCACACCATTGGTGACTGGGAGCAAGACCTTGGGTATGACCAGAGGTGCTGGCTGAAGGACAGGAAGAGGGAATGTGGTTGCTCCACCCTCTCATCTTCTTTTTGCACTGCTGGAAGGAGGGGTGCCCAGAGTCTTCTTCTCTCCCAGCGCAAGCATTTAAGCCTCATAACCTGCCTGTGAGAGGGCTGTGTCCCCCTTTTGGGCCATGACCCGCAGTTTGAGAACCATTACCCTAAGAGAAAAGATAAGAAAAAAAGAGAAAATGCAATGAGTTTACAATTCAGCATGCTTCCATCTTCAGACGCTGGCAGGGTTGGCTAGATGGTCAAGCCCTCAGAACACTGTTCTCCCCACAACCAGCCACCTTGAGCCATGAGGAGGCAGGAGATAAGTACTTTACAACTGGATTTTACTGTGTGAACTGGAAAAATCCAGTTCAAAAGTACATTGAAAGTGGATTATTTAGTGTGTGTGATCACAGCCACAGACAGACAAACCGGTTAAAGGAGAACTGATCACTGTACTGACCTAATCAAAGGTAAAGCCAAGTGGAGAGGAAGGAGAACCAGCAGGGTTCTGTATGCCCTGTAGAGAATGGCTGGTTTGAGACAGGAACTGAATGGATGATTGGCTAAGATTGATGGCCTAATTGACATAGCTCAGGAAGAGTTGGCAAACATGCTGACTACAGGATAACTCTTGAAGTAATACCTCTGTCTTCTAAGCCTTTTGGCACTGGATTGGCTGGATTCCATGCAGACTGGTCTGAAGCTACAAGGGTGGGGTGTGGGAGGAAATTCTTATAGAGTCATAGAGTTGGAAGGGACCTCCAGGGTCATCTAGTCCAACCCCCTGCACAATGCAGGAAATTCACAAATACCTTCCCCCTCCACACCTGCAGTGACTGCTGTTCCATGACCAGAAGATGACAAAAAACATCCAGGATTGCTTCCTGACTCCGAAGTAGCAATCAGCATTTCCCTGGGCATGTAAAAAAGGGCCACAAGAACTAAGCACTGACGCAACCCTTCCTGCCCTCCCTCTCATGATCTGCCTAAGTTCACAGAATCTGCATTACTGTCAGATGGCCATCTAGCCTGTTTGAAAACCTCCAGAGAAGGAGAGTCCACCACTTCTCAAGGAAGCCTATTCCACTGAGGAACCGCCAGGACGTTCTTCTTAATGTTTAGCCGAAAACTCTTCTGATTTAATTTCAACCCGTTGGTTCTGGTCCGACCTTCTGGGGAAACAGAAAATAGCTCCACACCATCCTCTAGATGGCAGCCCTTCATGTACCGGTACTTGAAGATGGTTATCATTTCACCTCTCAGTCATCTCCTCTCCAGGCTAAACATACCCAGCTCCTTCAACCTTTCCTCATAGGACTTGGTCTTGACAAATATTAATACAATCCAAAGCAAATGGGTGCTTCTACTGCCTGAGCTCTGGAGTCGACAGATCTGTGTATCCACTTTGGGCACAATAACCTTATTTCTAAGGACTGAAAAACAGGAGTTCTTTCTGCATTTGCAGTCACCCTTTTATAGCTGACTTTTAAATAGGGACTCCAACGCCCATAAAAACAAACAGCTGATGATATCTGTAGGCTTCCAACTTAATCCCCTGATTTGAATTCAACACATGTGGATAGCGATCAAAACCTGTTATCATCTGGCAGCTGTGTGCTGGCTTGTGTGAAATATATTTCATCTCGCTACAGTTCCCAGTTGATAAGGTGACTTTTCTGGAACCTTCCT